AGAGAGAGAGAGAGAGAGAGAATGCATGCACGTAAGCAGGAGAGTGGGAACAGAGGGAGGGAGAGAGAGAATCCCAGGTAGGCTTCACGCTGTCAGGGCAGAGCTGTTCCTGGCAAGCCATGAGATCATGACCTGAGCAGATACCAAGAGTCAGATGTTTAACCAACTGAGCCACCCAGGTGACCCCCACCCACACCCTTTCGAGAAGCCTAAAAGGTAAGCAAAAAGACCCAAGAAATCCTTACCTTTCCAGCAGAACACAGGGCTATAATACAACATAAGCCCTGAGATAATGGCCAGTCCCAGCAGAAGGAGGCTCACGATGGTGCCCACAATCCCACCAATATTCCAAGGTTCTACAAAGACAAATCACACTGTTGAGTCTTCCACTGGATACACCCGTAGGTAGTGCTCGCTTGGGCAGCATATATTAAAATTGATACACAGGCAGGTGAAAGAGCAACATCGCCCTTCCTCTGCCTGGGTCCTAGTCTTCCTTTGGTTCCATAAGCTTGGGCAAAGCATGTGACCTCTCCATAAGGCAAGATAAATATCTCATTTCCTCAATTTGTGGGAATCAAATGAAGCACGTGATACAAAAGAACACTGGAAAGTTGGGGCGCCTGGGTGGCTCAGTCAGTTAGGCGTCCAACTTCGACTCAGGTCATGATCTCGAGTTTCATGAGTTTGAGCCCTGTGTCGGGCTCCATGCTGACAGCTTAGAGCCTGAAGCCTGCTTTGGATTCTGTGTCTCCCTGTCTGTCTGACCCTTACCCACTCGCGCTCTTTCTCCCTCAAAAATAAATAAACATTAAAAAACAAAACAAAACAAAACACTGGAAAGTTAACATCTCCGTCTACCAGACATCAAGACTGTTTATAACGTCACAGAAATTAAGAGTATGAGTTGTTAGTGCTGTCATAAACAGTGATGAATGGAACAGAATCAAGAATCTAAGAACAGACCTACACATAAAAGAAAATTTGATTTATGACAGATTGGTGGGTAAAAGAGGAATTATTCAAGAATGGTGCTGGAATAAATGGCTATCCAAATTTGGGTGGTGTTGGGTGGGGGAGAAACTGGACCCTTACCTCACACCATTCACAAAAATCAATTCTAGATGGATTAAATATTTAACTGTGAAAGGCAAAACATTAAAACTTTTTAGAAGAAAATATAGGATAGGACTTTTGCAGCCATGGAGGAGACAGGATGTCTTAAGACATAAAAAATTGCTAATGATACAAGACTCATAAAATTAACTACTAAAAGAACGCTCATGAAAGGATAGCATAAAGAAAGAAAAAAAAAGACAAACTAAAAGGAGATATTTGTAACGTAAAACTAATAAGGATTAGTAAACAGAATTTCTAAAGAACTTGTACATATCTATAAGAAAGGAGGAAATGTCAAAAGACACACATGTATTTCGCAGAAGAAACACAAATAGCAAATACACATATGAAATAATGCTCAATCTTCTTAGAAACCAGAGAAAGGCAAATTAGAATAAGTGAGATTCCACCCCACACATACTTGCTGGGCAAAAATCACAAAGCCTGATAGCGAAAATGTAGAACAACTCAATACTCCTACATACCGCTGTTGTGAATGGAAATCAGTACAACCACTTTGGAAAATAATTTGGTATTATCCAATAAAGATACAAATGCACATGCCCTATAACCCTTCATTTCTACTCCTTCCACATATATCCCAGAGAAGTATTTGCCTGGGGACCTGCTGTAAAAGTACAGGAGAAACTGGGTAAAAGATTGTCATAGTAACACTTCTGTTCATCACAACAACAAAAAATCAGAAACAATACAAAGGTCCATCGCAGGAAAATTAGTGACTTAGTTGTGTAATCGTGACACAACAGAAAATCCTACAGCAGTGAGGAGGTATGAAGCATAATTACACATATTGGCATGAATAAATCCTAGGAACAAAAACGTGGAGTGAAAAAAGCAGGCATTTCACTTACGTAGTAAAATTTTTCTTGAATAGTGATTACATTTTTCAGGAGGCCCAGGATGAGACTGGAAAGGAGTCTACAGGTAGAGTCGCCTGATAAAATACAGCATGCCCACTTAAATTTGGATTTCAGGTAAAAAATGAATCATGTTTTAGAATAGGCATCTCCCATGCAAAATGTGGGACACACGCTAAAAAAATTCTGTTTTTCTGACATGCAAATTTAAGAGGGCATCCTAGGTTTTTTAGCTTTGTTCTAATTTCCTAAATCTAGCCACACTACCTACAAGTAACTTCCGCATTGTTGGCGCTGTATCTTAAACAGGCTGGTAGTTTCTTGGGTGTTCATTTTGCTCTTATGCGTCACAACTTACACTTTTTGTATTTTTAAAATATATTTTATAATATATATTCTTAGGGATGTAACAGATTATTTTTTTAAGCTTTATTTTATATTTTCTTTACTAATCTCTATGCCAACGTGGGGCTTGAACTCACAACCCCGAGATCAAGAGTCACGTGCTCTTCCAAATGAGACTGCCACGTGCCTCAACATAAATTACTTTTTTCTCCCCATGCAATGTTGGAAATGTAGGACTGGATAATAATTTTTCCACCTTGTCAAGTCGTAGGCAAGCAGATAGGCCTTCTCCCAGATGGCAGTGACCACCTGGTCATATATGGAAGCACCGAACTGTCCTCGTGCTAGTGGAAGGTCCTCTGAAGCTCTCAACCATCCTCGTTTGGGGCCACTCACCTTTCACACTCAGCCAGATGTCCACCTCCCGCACCCCCACGGGGTTCTTGGCCTGACAGACGTAGTAGCCCTCATCCAGGACCTGGGAGCAGTTGCGGATGGTGAGTGTGGAGCTCTGGCCATTCTGGGTGATGAGATAGTGGCCATTGGGCTGGATGACCACCTCGGGCTGGGTGAGGTTCCTCAGCCACAGGATCTTGGCAGGGGGGTAGGCTCCAGACACTTGGCAGGTGAGCGTCACATTGCCCCCCACGAAGCAAGTCTTCATGGGCTCAGAGACAAGGGAGGCACTCCCTGGCGAACAGAAGGTAAAGAAAGAAGACAAATGTTCAAGGAGACTCAAGCAGTGGCCTGAGATTTTCAAGAATATTATTACCTTCCTAATGAAACAACTACAGGAAGTTCTGTACCACACTTGGTCTCGTGTGATAATAAAAGCTAACATTTATTTAGCATCTACTATGGGATAGGCACGGTTATGCTTATTAACCCAATTAGTTCTCACAAAAACCCTGTCCTTATCCCCATTTTGCAGATGAGGAAATGGAGGCCCAGAGAAGGTTAAGTAACTTGCTCAAAGTCACACAATGAGTTAAGTGGTGCAGCTAGGATTAGGATGAACAAGAGTCCTGGTTTGCTCGACTGAGGGGGTTCCTAGGACATGGGGCTTTCAGGGAGAAAAAGGGGAAAGTCTTGGGCAAACCAGGATGAGTTGGGCAAACCAGCCAAGTTGCCAGGCTTTTGTAGCCCATGCTCCTTATGTCTATGCTATAGGCTTCTATGCGTAATAACCAGATTGCTCATATGAAAAATGGGCACGCAGCCTGCCAAGAGTGTTTGAGGGGACAGTAAAGCAGCTGTCATTTCCTATCGCCGCGGTTAACAAATTGCTACAAACTGCGTGGTTTAAAACACCACAAATTGGTTCTTTTATAGTTCTGGAGGCCAGAAGTTGGAAATGATCTTATGAGGTTCAAATCAAGCCGTTGGCTGAGCACATTCCTTCTGGAGGCTCTGGGGGCCAAATCCACGTCCTTTTCAGCTTTTTGAAGCCATCTGCATTCCGTGGCTCGTGGCCCCTCCTTGACCCGCTCTTACACCTGTCGTCACATCTCCTGCTGCTGACTCTGACCCTCCGGTCTCCTTTTCAGAAGGTCCGTGTCATCACAACGGCCCCACCCCGATAATCCAGGATGATCTCCCCATCCCAAGATCTTAAATCACAGCTTCAAAGTCTCTCTTGCCATGTAAGGTAACAGTCACAGGGATGAGGACACGGACATCTTGGGGGGAGCATCAGTCTATCACAAGTGTGTCGTAGACAACTCAGAATGCGGCGTCCCTGTGGCCTCAGGGTCTGACTTGAGTGGGCCGTGGGGAACTCTAAGGTGCACCCTAGCAATCCATTTCTTTCCTTTTGTAAAATTTTTTTGAGACAGAGAGACACAGTGTGAGCAGGGGAGGGGCAGAAAGAGAGGGAGACACAGAATCCGAAGCAGGCTCCAGGCATTGATCTGTCAGCACAGAACCCGACGCAGGGCTCAAACTCACGGACCGCGAGATCATGACCTGAGCCGAAGTCTTAACTGATTGAGCCACCCAGGTGCCCCCGATCCATTTATTTTCTTTGCAGCAGAAAGCCTTTCCCAAAATGCACACTATCCTGGAAAGGGTGGCAAATTCATCTTGGGTGATATATTAAGCCCTTATTTTCAGCAGCTGAAGGGCACAGACTGGCACACTGGGTTCCTGCCTGGGAGAGTGAAACCACACGCTTCCCACAGGCGATTGTCCCAAGAGAGAATCTAGGGCTTCAGTGCTGGCGCCGTGGGGAGACGGAAGGGGCAATGTACACGGGGGACAGGGTAGGGGTATAGAGCAGCCCAAAGGCTCTCCCTCTAAATTAGGTCAGCAGAAGAGACCCAAACGTAGGTTTCCTCAGGAAACTCAGGTGCTCCACCCCCTTCTGGATCAATTGTCAGGTTCCTGCCATGTTGCCAAATTGTGCTTTCCCCTTCTCTGTGGTTAACTCCTGTGTCCTTTGGGGTCACAAAGCCAGCAGCAGTGACATGCCTCATCTGTATGTTGCAATTCAGGGGCCCCCAAACCTAAGTTTGAGACACAGCCTCCTCATCCTGCATAAAAAGCAAAGCAAACAGTCCCCCTAGTGCCCCCTTCCCCAGCAAACAGAGGTCATGTACATAAATCTGCTTCTGCCAAACAGCATTTGCCCCTCAAAAAGCTGAGCCACCCAAACAGTGAGTGTGGCACCTATAAATTCAGAGTTTCTTTCACCTAAGAGGATGCTGTGTGCAGGGGTGGGGTCAGGGGTGGGGGTGAGGGGATGCAGGGCCCTCAGAGATCTGCGAGAGATGGAATAGACACCAGGGCCTTCACATAATGGGCTGGTTAGTGCTTCAGCTTATCACGATTTGAGTGGATTTCTTCCGTGTAGGGGCCTACAAGCAATTTAAAGAGATGTGGGCAGCAGGAATCCCCAAAAGTATCACTTTTCATCATTTGGGGAGCTATGCTGTTCTGTACCCAAAAGGTGAGCATTAACATTACTTTTCAATGACTTACTAGTCCTCCCAAGGCAATGATCCAGAGACTTCTTCTCCCCCAAGGGCACTGCTATTCAAAGTATGTTCTCAGGACCAGCAGCAACAGCACTTTCTAGGATCTGGTTAGAAATGCAGAGTCTTGGGCCCACCCCAAGCCCAGAGAGACAGAATTTGCCTTTTAACCAGACCCGCAGGTGACCTGTATGGACATCAAGGCTGAGAAGCTCTGGGCTCAAATGACCAAGAGGAAAGAGGGGAGAATTGGACAATGTCAGAGTCAGTCAGGAAGGTTCTAGGTCCTTGTGCCTGCTTCCCTATGCTCCTGGAACTGGGAAAACGTCCACCCAGTTCTCTTCTCCAGACACATTTCTTAATCCTGAGCACATATTTAGACTCAAATTACTGGCCAGGACTCAGGGGCCACAAGAATGATGAGTCAGACAAGATCTGCAGGAAAAATACGAAGGGGTGGGGGAAAAACAACACCAAACCTGTCAGCTGCCTCTGCCATTTTCACCCTGTCTCAGGGTCAGTCCATAATTTAGCCACTTCCTGGGAGTTGCCGTCCACGGCACACTTTGGGAATCTTCATTACCCGCCATTCGGAAGGCGTGCCCTGCTTCCGGCTGTAGGAATCGGGTCAAGCCCATTGCTTCTGCTTCATCATCCATAACGGGGAGTGCAGTGGATTGAATAGCGTCCGCCCAAAATTCACGAGGGACCCCAGAACGTGACCTTATTTGGAAACAGGATCTTTGCAGAGGTAACTAGTTCAGGATCTCAAGATGTAATCATCCTGGATTCAGGGTGGGCCCTAAGCCCACCAGCAGGTGTCTTACAAGAGGAGTGGACCCAGAGAGACCCGGACACAGAGAAGACATGAAGACAGAGGCAGAGACTGGAGGAACGTAGCCACAAGCCAAGGAACGCCTGGCAGCACTAGAAGCCGGGAGAGGCACGGAAGGACACTCCCCTGGAGCCTTCGACGGGAACACGACACACCAATCCCTCAATTTCAAACTTCCAGCCTCCAGAGCTAGGAGAGAATACATTTCTGTTTTATTTATTTATTTTTTGTTTTTCTTAACGTTTATTTATTTTTGAGACAGAGAGAGACAGAGCGCGAAAAGGTGAGGGGCAGAGAGAGAGGGGGACACAGAATCGGAAGCAGGCCCCAGGCTCTGAGCTGTCAGCACAGAGCCTGACATGGGGCTCGAACTCACAAACTGCGAGTTCAGGACCTGAGCCAAAGTCGGACGCTCAACCGACTGAACCAACCCAGGCGCCCCAATATCTGTTGCTTTAAAACACCAAGTTTGAGGTGCTTTGTTATGGCAGTCCCCAGAAATGAATGTATGAGGATAACATGAACACCTAGCTCCCAGGGTGATCGTGAGCACTAAGCAAGGTACTGTGTGGAAAACACCCAGCACAGCACCTTGTACACGGTTTGCGCTCAACAAATATCGAGGTCACTACTGCGATATTGCCAGTTCCCTACTTCACGTTTCTATGACTTATCTTTCCGAGGAAATTTTAAGTCCTTTGAAGGTTAAGGACTCGGTACTCCTACAGTGCCTGATACCATGCTGAGTATGTAACTCTTCCCCGAAAGGACTTGCTGGGTTAAGTGTGGAAGGGGTTCCTGAGGGAGGCAAGGGTTCTGGAGTCAGATCAGCCTGGGCCAGGTGCCAGCTCAGTCACTTACGAGCTGGGTGATCGTGGGTAAGTTAGTTCACATGATGTCCCCTCTGCAACTTACAAACTGTCGTGTCTAATCTGCGGGCTACTGTGAGGGTTCAAACGTCGTGTCAGCAATTTGGAAACAGGAAAAGAACTTCTGAGCCCAGAACCCTAAAAGTACAGGGCTGACACAGGTAGGTGACCCCTTCACAATCAGAAAACTGCTGATAACTAGCAGAAATGAAGCACAAATGCAGTTTAGGAGCCAAGTAGGACAGAAAAATATCCATGGCATGCAATGACAGTTCTCTGAAATTAACTGACTAGGTGAATATAAAATACTCTCAGGGAATAATAAGAAAAGATGAACCCAGTAGAAAAATGGACAAGACAGTGGGTGTCGTATGGAAACAAATTTGACAATAAATTTCATATTAACAAAAAAAAAAGAAAGACAAATGGACAAGATATGAACAGACAATTCGCAGAAAATATATAGGAACCAATTAGTACACAGTATTATGTACCAATTAGTATATAAAAATTGTCAACTCCCCTAGGATCAAAGAAACTCAAATTAAAAATTACGCCATGTCTTAACAAATAGGAAAAGTCTAAAAAATTAAAGATAACACTCAATGTCAGTGGCACAGTCTTCCTAGAGGGGACTTGCCAGTGGGTACAGGGTTTCTTTGTGGAACAATAGAAATGTTCTGGAAGTAGACAGTGCTGATGATAGTACAACATTGTGAATATACTAAAAACTACCATTATACGCTTTAAAATAATGAAGTTTATGCTGTGTGAATTATATCTCATTAAAAATAAAATTGTGAGGCGCCTGGGTGGCTTAGTCAGTTGAGTGTCCGACTTCGGCTCAGGTCATGATCTCACGGTCTGTGGGTTCAAGCCAGGCGACAGGCTCTGTGCTGACAGCTCAGAGCCTGGAGCCTGCTTCTGATTCTGTGTCTCCCTCTCTCTCTGCCCCTCCCCTGCTCATTCTCTGTCTCTCTCAAAAATAAATAAACACTAAAAAAAAATTTTTTTTTAATAAAATTGCAAAAAACCAGTGGGGCCGGGTGTATCCCACGGGCCATCGTTTGCCAACCCCTGTTCTAATGTAGAAAGTGAGTCTTGGTCCCTTCTGTTGCCTGGGGCCAGCCAGGTACCGGACACAGATGAGCCACTTGGGGCATGTTTGCTGAATGAGTCACTGGGGAAGGGTCAACCATGGGAATGCCACTTGCCTGGGAAAACACGCATCTCCTGGCATAACAGCGCTCACTTCTCAGCAGGTCAGCCCTCCGTGGCCGCACCTCTGAGGATCGTCCTGACACACTAGGAGGAAAATCCTCACCATGGCCAACAAAGCCCAACACCCTCAGGTCCTTGCTTCCAGTGGTATTCGTTTCCTGGGGCTGCTCTCACAAAGTACCACAAAGTGGGTAGCCTAAAACAACAGAGATCCTTTCTCTCACAGTGCAGAAACTCAGAGGTCTGAAATTCAGGTGTCAGCAGGCTTGAGGCCTCTGGAGGATCCCCAGGGAGAAACCATCCCATGCCTCTCTCTTAGCTTCTGGCGGTCACCGGCAACCATGGACATTCTTGGCTTGTAGATGGACCACTACAGTCCCTGCCTCCATCATCACGTGACATTCTCCTCGCGTGTCTGTGTCCAAATGTCCCTCTTCTTGTAAGGATACTGGTCCCTGGAATAGAGCCCACCCTACTCCAGCATGGCCTTATCTTAACTTAATCACACCCACAAAGGCTCTTAGCCCAAATATGGTCACATCCACTGAGACCCAGGATTAGGACTTGAACATATCTTTTTTGGGAGACACAATTCAACCCACAATAGCCATCTAGCCTAGTCACTGCCTCACGCACAGTGGTCTACTCTCAGTTCCTCAAGTGCCAGATAAGTTTCCACCTCAGGGCCTTAGCATTTGCTATTCCCTCTGCCAGGAATACTCAGCCCACCTAGCTAGCTCCTCATCCTACAGGTCTTTGCTCAAAATACTACTGCCACAGGAGACCTCCCTACCTCCTAGGAAGAGTAGCCTTCTTCCTATGATAGACTCTTTAAAAGTCTCTTTTATTCTCTTCATAGCTATTCTCTTCATAGCTATTTTATTCTCTTCATAGCTATTATCACTGGGGTGCTTGGGTGGCTCAGTTGATTAAGCATCCGACTTCAACTCAGGTCATGATCTCGCAGTGTGTGGGTTCGAGCCCTGCGTCAGGCTCGTACTGACAGCTCAGAGCCTGGAGCCGCTTCAGATTCTGTGTTTCCCTCTCTCTCTGCCCCTCCCCTGCTCATGAGCGCATGCGTACTCTCTCTCAAAATTAAAATACAAACATTAAAAAAATAATTATTATTATCCCTATCTGAACCTATCTTACTTGTTTTTGGGTTTTCTATCTTCCTCTGACCCCCACCCCCACACAGAAAAATTTAAGCCCTAGGAAAGAGGAATGGTCATGATTTCAAAAATGTTACCAGAAATCATTTGACACTCTTCCCTTCAAAAAGTGGAACCTAATTCCACCCACTCCCCCCGTGAAAGTGGAGCCAGACTGAGTGACTCTCTTCTAATGAACAGAATATGGCAGAAGGGATGCCGTGCGACTTCTGAGGCTAGGTAGGTCAGAGGAAGGATTGCAATTGTCTGGCTTGCTCCCTCTTGCATCACTTGCTCTGGGGAAAGCCAGTGCCATGTTGCAAAGACAGTCAAGGGGCTCTGTAGAGAGGCCCCCATGGAGAGGAAGCAAACCTGCCAAGCATATGGGTGAGCACCTTGGAAGTAGATTCTTCAGACAATTCAGCCCTCCCAACGAAGTCTTGCAGCTGAGACCCAGGTATCACGGAGCCAAGACAGACCACCCCCACCGTGCCCTGTCCGAATTCCTGGCCCACAGAAATCATAAGATAAATAAATGATTTGTTGTTTTAAGCCATTAAGTCGGGGGGTGTTTGTTACATAACAGGAGATAGCTAATAAATGAACCACGTACTTCTTGTTCACTGCTCCACCTCCAGTACCTAGAAACTGTGCCTGGCACACAACAGGTGCTTAGTTAGGATGCATCAAGTAGAAAACGGTTTGGATGAGAACCAAGAAGGTTGGTGAAGCATCTTTAAAGTTTGAAAGGAAGGAGATACAAAGCAAAAGAAAGGAAGAAACAGAACTCGGTTCACTACGACATCTTGGGATTTCTTTCCCAGACCTTCTTGCAGAAGGTGCTCTTGGAATAAAGGAAGATGGGTGGACCCCAACCCAGGACAAGGCAGGCCAGACTCACTGATCTGCACCACACAGCTGGCTCCCAACTCCGGTCCCACTATGTGGCTCCCGACACACTTGAACTTCTTGCCATCTGACAGCTGGGACTGGTTCAGCATCTCCACCCCCAGCTTGGACGTCCCCACGGCCACACCTCCTGGCTCTTCTGTCCATAGGAAGTCCGGGTCTGGGTATCCCCCGTCCCAGCGACAGGTGAGCTGCAGCGTGAGCTGTCCTTGTGACATCTCTGCCCGGCACTGAGGGGCTGACGGAGGGGGTGCTGCAAAACAGCAGAGGATGCGGGCTTAATCAGAGACTCCAAAATCAGCCACTGAGCTGGCCCTAAGGATTACAGAACCAGTGTATCAGAGAAACAGTCATGCTCAGTTAGTGTGCCCTGAAATAGCTCCTTAGCACAAATTAGTGCATGACAGTAGTCCGGGTTTCCTCTGCGGAGTGTCCAGTCTCCAAGGACGTGGGCCTCATTCGTCTTTGCAATTCTCACTAGCCACGATGACCTTTACATGTGGCTATTTAAGGGCTCAGTGACTATATGCGGTGGGTGGCTACTGTATTGGACCACAAAGAATAGAACATTTCGATCATCATTAAAAGCTCTACTGGACAGTGCTGGTCCCCAGGGGGGGTGACAGGTGGGATTCGCCCCCACCCTTAACATATACTTCCTTTTTACTCTGTGCAGGCATTACTAAGAACACACAGACATTTAACAAGTTACAAACCTGTAAATCCTATGTAACCCATGTGTTAACAGCTATATGTGAAAATTCACATAAATGTATATTGTGCATATGTTCTATATGTATATTATGTATGTATTAAACGTATTGTACATCCTTTATAGATTTTATATAATACACACAAATAGAATTTGGATCTTACATGGATGGGTAGGTACAAGTCATCTACAAGAAAAATTATCAATAATATGCCAAAATGACGGTGAGAATATTCTTTTCTTTCCACTCATGTTTCCTCTAATAAGCACATATGACTTCGTCTACAATAAATGCCATTTTATGAGAGAACACAGAGACTTATAAAGGCTCTGAATAACGTATGAATTAAGTAAGGTGTTATTATCCTGTTCAGTAATTTGCTGTTCGGATGCCTCCTGTCGTTAGCATGGGTTATGAGCACACTCTATGTGTCTACAGTGGTTTTCACCCAAGGAATTTGTTTTCTCACTCCCGCAAGAAAGGTTCACAAACTGCTGGTTCCTAACGGTGCTAAAGGGCCCAAGTTCATGCATAGAATGAGGATGGTCAAATGCATACACAAATTTTGGTCTTTCCATGCAGTGGGATATTAACTCCATCACAAAATGGAGGAACCTTGAATACGTAATGCCCAGCAGAAGAAGCTGGTCATGAAAGGCCACATTGGTAGGAGTCCATTGATAGGACACATCCAGAATAAGCAAGTGCATAGAGATAGAACACAGATTGGTGGTTGCCAGGGGGTGGAGAAGACAGGAGGTAGTGACTGCTCGATGGGGATGGGATTTCCATTTGGGGTGATGAAAATGTTTGAAACTATACAGAGGTGATGTGATGGTCGCACAACGCTGTGAATGTATCAAATGCCACGGAGTTGTACATCTTTAAATGGCTGTTCTGTACTTTCACCTCAATTAAAAAAAAGAAAAGCAAGCATTAGGCTCAGCATTAATTTCCTTCTGTGGCTCACAGGGACTCTCCTGTGTCCCCCACTTAGCAGCAAGCTCCTAGAAGTGACTCCTCTCTGACACAGAGCCCTGGGTGTGTACGTGTGTGTTGAGGGAACCGCAGAAGCAAGTTCGGGCCCGTGCAGCAGGCATGCCTTTGTAGACAGGAGGAAGAGGCACAAACATGCAGCTCACGAAGGGTCGAGGTAAGGACATGGGGGAGGGGAGCGCCTCTTACGCACAGTAGACCAGGAGCTCGGTGGTCACCTTCCGCTGTCTCCCACTGAGCGTGTTCGTGGCCAAACACGTGTAGTTCCCTTGGAGGTTTTGCGACATGAGCAGCAGAATGAAGCTGCTGACCGTCAGGTTGTTTCCAAAGGGCTCAGTGCTGGAATCGGGGGCCCGGAACTGCCACTCAACCACTGACGGAGGCCAAGAGCGACTGCTGCAGCTGAAGTCCACCTGGGAGCCTTTGGCTGCATAGAGGGTGCCATTGGGGAGCGTGCCGGTGCTGGAGATGTTGACCTCAACCTCATAGGGACCGCCTGAGAATGACAGGGGGAATGGGGAAACTATTCATTACTTAAGAGTTAACTTGAGCTCCTTACCAGATCTAACAGACGCAGAAATGATCAGGAAGCAACAATGAGGATGTCAGTATCTATCGAATACTTACTATATGACAAATGCTATGCTTAAATGCCCTTATGCGTTCTAATCCTGAGATAAACGTTGATTTATTGGGGGAGGGGTTCAATCCTTATAGGAAAGGGGAAACTGCAAACCGCTCCTTTTCAGAAACACTGGTGAGGGGATAGGCTACCTGTGCATTAGAGCTAACATGGCAGGCCCAAGTGCTTTCCTTAAAAAGGCCTGCTTGTAAGGTTGGCCTTGGCTGGTGACTGGAACTTGGATTTCAGGAGGGTTTCGCCATTTCTAGACCTGACAAGAGGGAGGCTCATGGGCCTGAACCATTTGCAAAACAGTGTGGTTTACGCTGTACAGCTGCTTCCCCTGAGAGTCTAGAACTTGGGTACGTGCTAGGCGAGGGTGCCCACATGATTAGCCCCCAGTAAAAATCCAGGGTGCTGGGGGTCTCGTGGGCTTCCTAACACATTTCACCCATGTTGCCACAACTCGTTCCTGGAGGAATTAAGAGTGTTCCATGGGACTCCCCTGGAAAAGGAGTCTTGGAGGCTTGCTCCTGGTTTTCCTCAGACTTAACCCCATGTGCCTTTTGCCCTTTGCTGATTTTGCTTTGTATTCTTTCGCTGTAATAAATCAAATTACAAATGCTGAGTCCTGTGAGTTGTCCCAGAGAAATCACTGAGCCTGGGGGTGGGCTGGGGAACTCCTAGCACAACTTCACACTGAAACACAAGAAACATTGGTTCCAGGCCCAACTATGGCCTCTATTCACTAGCTGTGTGACCTTGGGAAAATTACTTAACCTCTCTTAGCCTCCACTTCCACATCTGTAAAATGGGGGCAAAGCTAGAACCCATTGCAAGGAGCTATGGTGATACTCAAGTAGTACAGCAGAACAGTGCTGGTCAGGTTGGAAGCATGGTAAGTGCTGGGTCTTCTCCGGATCCCCCTTACATTTCTGAACTTCTTTCTTATCCCCAGAAATGCCATCCCATGGCTGGTGGCCAGTGCATCCAAGCTGAGGCATCTCTTTTGATGAAAAGAATATATTTAACACCTATTTATACCAAAGTCATTTAGTGTGTTACCTCTGCCCTTTCGGAAAGAAGAATCCGGGAAGGGCAACACTTAGCCAAAGGAATAAATCTGTGACTGTAGAATTTGAACAGAAATAGGCCAGTGGGAAAAATTATTCCGGGGAGGAAAAGGCTTTCCCAGAGCCCCTCAAAGTCCAGCATCTATTTCACCTATGTCTGAAGCTATTTGTAGGACTCTAGAAATTGTGCGTTTCCGGGGCACCTGGGTGGCTCGCTCTTTTGGGTGTCCGACTTCGGCTCAGGTCATGATCTCACAGATCGCAGGTTTGAGCCCCGTGTTGAACTCTGTGCTGACAGCTCAGAGCCTGGAGCCTGCTTCAGATTCTGTGTCTCCCTCTCTCTCTCTCTCTCTCTCTCTCTCTCTCTGTCCCTCCCCACTCACGCTCTATCTCTCTCAAAAATAAATAAACATTTTAAAAAAGAAAGAAAAAAAAAAAGAAATTGTGCATTTCCCAGGTCAGAATTCTTGACATATCCTTCTCAGGTTGGGGCTGGTTCCCAACAGTTGCATTGATCTGCTGGAACCATGTCACCTGCCATAGAGGGTCAGTTTTTAAAACGATGCCATTAGTATGGGAGGTACCACTTACTGTTGCTGGCTAGCTGGTTAGGTATGCAGACCAACAGGTAATAGGGCGTGCCCACAGTTGGCGGGCATCCAGTTAAACAGAGGGTACCTCTGCAGCACTGACAGCCAAAGCCCAGGCCAGCAAAGAGGTAGTGTGTTAGATTGGCCAGCCTGAGTCTTCCGACTTGTGGTCTGGAGGGCCATTAGTGGCCTAGAATGGATACTGTGGACCCCCAGAAACTGGGTGGGAGGGGCTTCTGACCAGTACAATTCTCATCAAGAAACAGGGTTGGATACAGGGAATGGATGAGAAGGAGGGGTGGAAGGATTAGAAAAAGAAATCAAATGAAAGAACCTGAGAGGCCTCCTGAATGAAGTGTTCAGAGGTTACATCTCATCTATAAAGCCCTTGGGTTGAGTCTGCTTTCTTTTTTTTTTTTAATTTTTTAATGTTTATTTATTTTTGAAGGAGAGAGAGAGACAAAGCGTGGGCAGGGGAGGGGCAGAGAGAGAGGGAGACACAGAATCCGAAGCAGGCTCCAGGCTCCGAGCTGTCAGCACAGAGCCCAACACGGGGCTCGAACCCAAAACCATGAGATCATGACCTGAGCCGAAGTTGGACACTCAACCCACTGAGCCACCCAGGTGCCCCGAGTCTGCTTTCTTAATTAAAGCTGACGCCATCTTGAGTCCCTGGGGTTCTTCCCTTGCTCTGACTTTACTACACAGGAGAAGGTGCCCACTTCCTTCCCTTCCACTGCTCTCTCCACCCACTTGATAATTTATTCCCAAACAGAAACTACCAGCCCTTTTTGCCTGCAGGGTGATGGTGACAATCACTCAAAGAGAAAGAGAGATGGGGAACAAAAATAAAACAGCCAATAAATAAAAATATAAAGTGGTTACAAAGGCTCGGCGTCTTACTGAGGCCTTGGTCATTGGAGTTTGAGTTCTCAGCTCTATCTTGGATGGGTGCCTTTGCCTGGGGGCCATGAGCTTGTCCCCTGAATTCAGAGACCTGGGTGTAAATCCTACTGCCACTTACAGATAGACAACCTTGGGTAAGTGCCCATCCTTCTCATTCTCTCCTGCCTTTCCTATGAAACGAAAAGAACAGTAAAAACATCTATCACCAGGTTACTGAAGGACCCAATGAGAAAATACAAGCAGCACACTTAGCCTGGTGTTTGACCTTGGTCAATGTTCTATAAATGTTACCTGACATTATTATCGGTAGTATCCTTGTTGATTGATTCAATAGGCATCAGCAAACCGTGGCCTACTATCTGTTTTTGTACAGCTCACAGGCTAAAAATGGTTTTCACAGATGAATATTCGCAATCGATTTGATGAGAGAGAACGCTAACTTTGAATCACAATTAAATGAAATGTTATCCCCCCCAAAAAAGGAATTCTATTTTTCTCATTACACTATACTATAAAAAAAGTATTTGGGGCGCCTGGGTGGCTCAGTCGGTTGAGCGTCCGACTTCGGCTCAGGTCATGATCTCGCGGTTTGTGAGTTCAAGCCCCGCGTCGGGCTCTGTGCTGATGGCTCAGAGCCTGGAGCCTGTTTCGGATTCTGTGTCTCCCTCTCTCTCTGACCCTCCCCCGTTCATGCTCTGTCTCTCTCTGTCTCAAAAATAAATAAAAAAGTATTCATTTATTATTATACTTTGAATTTTGTCA